CCAGCAGCTTCTACCTTCAACCGACTGTGTGTATTGTACGTCACTGTGCTAGTGTTTCAGATGGATATGTTGTATATAAATTGTGTTTGTGTATTAAAAGCTTGTTTCAAAAGAATCAATGACGATCTGACAAATTTGCTAATCATGTACGATAAACCGCATTTACATTTTTGCTATAAACAAAAAAACCTTTTATTGGAACTTAAGGCTCTGAAGAAGCGTCATTTGATAGTTAATAATTCAGTGCAAATACTAAAAATAATTTTCAGTCCGCAACTTCTCGCAACTATAACTTTAATTTTCATTCACGTTACTTTTGAACTATATTTCAATATGATACAGTGGGAAAACGGGTTAACTATTAGTTGGCCTAAGCACATTGAAGAAGCTTTACATATCCCCTACATTATGTATTATTTTATAAAATTATTATTGATAGTATGGGTCTGCGAAACCGGCAAAAATCAAGCTCTAAAAATTAGCACTACTGTTCATGACATGCTTAACAGCATTAAGAATGAACAACTCAAACTTGAGGTATTAAACAATTTAATTTGTATTTCTTTTAATATTTCTTATATTAATTTCATACACATCAAATTTATATACAATTTATAATTACTTTTCCTAAATCTGTTTATAAATGTTTTTTTATCTAATGTTGCAGTTGCAGCTGTTTTCTTTGCAATTAATGCATTGCGATAATACATTCTCCGCGAAAGGTCTCAAATTGGATGCGACATGTCTCACAGCGGTAAGTGAACAATTATTTACAATAATTTAAATGCTTTTAAATTAATTATGGTGTTTAATTTATATGGTTTTGCTTTTAGATAATGGGTACTATCACTACATATTATATTATTTTAATTCAATTCTTGATTGCGTCACATTCTTGTGACGAAAAAACTGCAATCAATATTACACACGCAATCTAAATCAGCACAAGGAATCTCACGCAAAATACATAATCGATAAGGAAAATTGATTTCTAAATATTAGAAATATTTTCTTTTTTATCATTATGATTGTGTAACGTAAACGATGATTTTATATATGAATAGATACAATTAAACGTATAATATAGTTATTTGCTTTAAAATGTAATTTTTAATTAACCAAAAAATCCTTGTAAGTAAGAGTAGAATACATACAACATATTTTGCAATTTTAATTGTTTAAAATTTATTAAAATTATTTATGATTTTTTATTTAATACTTTGATTAATTTTTACTTTACTTCAATAATTTTTATATCACTGAAAATTAAGTAATTTAATTTAACTAAACGTAGTATTTAATCAAATATCTTGTGGAGGTATATTTAGAATTCAAGTTATATTTATTTTTCAAGACTAATTTAAAAATTTTTGTTAAAAGAAATGTAACATGATCGATGCATTATTACACTAATAACGCTTTTTTGCTATTCTGTTTTTTTTTATCTTGAAATATAAAAAACTAGTTACATTAAGGTAATTTTTTGTTCACAGACTACGTTGTAGCTATTGCAAAATTAATAAAGTCATTAGTTGGAATATGTACCAGTAAACTCTAATTTAGATAATTGTTTCGATTAATTCTAAAGCATTGATATATATACACATAAGTGGATATTAATAATTCTTTAAGAAATTAATAATTGACGTAACTACCACATATTCGATGCTTTTTATTTTGTACATCTGTATACACAGATGATTCTCCTAATAAGTGATCTACATATGTGTGCAAAGTGATCATACAGCAATTATATTCCATTAAATTACACATTACTATTCCATTATTTCACATCCCAAGGGTAATACATGTGACTCGAGCAGCTCCATGGTTACTTCATATCTAACAAACGATCCTTGAGTAATGTCTTATAGTAACAACTGGCAGTCTTAATCTTAATTTCACCGGATGCAAATAGATTACGAAAACGTTAGTTTCAGCGTACATTTCGGGAGAACAAAGTTTGGAGGAAACAGAGCAGCAAAATAAATTTAGAAGTGACACGTTAGCTCACATTAAAACTGAAGTGTGTTCGTAATAAGATATTTAAATATCTAATTGATAATGAGACTAACAATTTTAAAGCAATTCTTCCACAACACAACATTGATGTTCAGTTCGTCATCAAAATTACGACAAATCAAAGGCGATAAAGCAGGAAGGAGATGGCGGATGTTTCACGCCACGGATTTTCAATCCTTGATGTATCCGTGTTTTATCTTTTGCCGCATTCTCGGAATATTCCCGTACAAGATTAACGCCTCATCCTTCGAAATTTCTAAACCGTTCTACATTCTGTCGACTGTCATTACGTGTGTCATTGGTTTTTACACGCTGATAGTACTCTATGTGCTCAACAACTCTGAATGGTTCATGATCAGAACCTTACGCAGAACTATTGAACTTAACGCTTTCTACATATTCGGTAGCTTCATAATGGTTGTCACGTCCGTTTGGGTTGGCCCACGAATGCGTTTACTTCAGACCATACTGAGGATCTCTTCCGGACTGCCTTTGGAGTCATACGAGAAGCAGTCTGTGCTAATCCACGCCAAGGACATTGTCGGTTTCTTTTTCTTATTCGTGCAACTATTATTCTGTTTCTACAACGTGCAATTTTATGTCATGCTCAAGGCGTTTTCATTCTACATCACTCTGATAGTGTTTCAGATGGATATGCTATACATGAATTGCGTTTGCGTATTAAAGGCTTGCTTCAAGAGAATCAATGACGGTTTGGCGAACCTGCTCGTAATGAACGACGAATCGCATTTATGGGTCCATCATGAACGGAGAAATCCTTTCTTGCTGATGGAGCTCGAGGCTCTGAAGAAACAACATCTGATAGTCAACGACACAGTACAGATGCTGAATATGATCTTCAGTCCGCAGCTCCTTGCTACTGTAGTTATAACCTTCGTCAGACTCACTTTCTACTTGTACTTTTCTTTAATGTTATGGGAAAATAGTGTACACGTACATGTATACATGAACAATTTGGAAAAACAAGTCTACTACATATTCCTCATGACATCTGTAGCGTTTTATTTGATAAAAATAGCACTGGTGGTATGGGCATGCGAGACCGGCAAAGATCAAGCCAATGAAATTGCCATTATTATTCACAATGTGTTTAACAGTACTAATGACGAGCAAGTTAAAGTTGAGGTAATAAAAAAATAATAATTTAATTTATACAACGTTTAAAAAATGTCTTATGTGTTATTGTGACTTTTCGTACATTTTACTTAAATTTAATTTGTTACATTTCTATATTTAATTCTATATTTAATTATTTTTCGATCTGATGTTGTAGTTGCAGCTATTTTCTTTGCAAGTACTGCATACTCGTCAAAATACATTCTCCGCGAAGGGTCTCACTATGGGTGCGCCGCTTCTTGCTGCAGTGAGTAATCAATGATTTGCCTTTATTAATTATATATATGTATATTTAATATTGCTTATGATTTTACTTTTAGTTAATTGGTAGTACCATCACGTATCTGTTAATCTTGATACAATTCAACCGCATGTCGAATTCTTGTGACGAACAGTTTACAATCCACAATATTACACAAACTACGTAATTGAAGAAAGATACAAAAGAAGACCAAAAGAATATATTTCTAAACATTGGAAATACTTCCTATTTCTCATCATGTGAGTAAGACATTATCGTCCGATGTTTTATAGATAATTGCACGTATACGTATATGTATAGGAGTTTAAAAATATTAGATTAGATGTTTATTAACAATAAATAGAAAATAAATAATGTTCATTAAATTAAATATTTATTATCAATCAAAAATTAATAAAAATTCAAATTTTGATGTTATATCGCGTTAGCATTTGACACATTTACATATTTGATAGAGATAAGGGAAGGGAATCCATTTCCGTTGAATGACGAAATATTTGCGTAATACGAGACAAGATTGTTCCGCATTACAAGTGTCGATGATATGATATCGGGAGGGCGAATGAATTTCATTATAGCCGGCGGACGCGTTTAATGCAGAGCAACTCCGGCGGTCTAAAGCCTGGCCTGGATAGGCCAACTCAGCACCCTGATATTTCTTTGAATAGAGATCTGTGCCGTGCGATAGGCTCGTATAAAAGACGAGGGTAAAGACGGAAGGAACTCTCCGTCTCTATCTTACCCATTCACTCGCCCGATCCTCGCCGCCCGTAGTTCTAATGTCACTTAGCATATTACCACTCTCCATTCCTTTAGACTCGAATTTTCACGCTCTGCCTCTTATAGATAAGTCCCGTAGCCCTAAACTCGTTAGCAAACCGAACTAATATTCATTGCAAGTGACACCAAGTGTGAAATGGAGTAACGCAATCTTGAAACGGAACGTGCGCCATCATAATTAAAGTACAGACGCCGAAGTAGATCTCGTTAGACATTACTTATGATTTAATATGATTCCACAGCGAAATTTCTATCAGATTATTAAACGAAAATGTGACATGCGGAACGCATATTAATATACATTATATAATTAAATTCTCAGTAAAATTGAAGAATGATACATTCCATCTCTCTATGTATATTTCATTTCCCTATTAATAATCACAGGAAGAATCATTTCACGTCTTTAATTTAATTAAAGTTAAATCTTGCCGCCGAGTTTCTTATTAGTTTCCCTCTTCTAATCTCTCATTACTCGCTATTATCTGTACCGCTATTATTTAATTAATCCCCCACGTTACGCTTGAAAAGGGATTATTCTCCTGGGCACGCAATAAACGTTTTATGTCTACGTCTACGTCCCGATCGAGCTAGGTCGCGTCAGAGCTGCGGAATAGCACCAAACTCGACACGAGTAACCCGGGAATAATCCGTCACCATAAAAACCGCGCCCGCTACAAGTCCCAATGGCCTGGACGGCGAGGACATTAAATCCCGGCAACATGAGGCGTTAGACCGGACGGACGACGCGACAGGGAAAGTGAACCCGTGCAGCGGCGCGAAGGTATACGCCGAACTGGGAGCGGAACGAAAACCCACGGTAAACTCAATTTTCCGCGTTAACTCGACCGACGAGGAGAGATCGTAACGAGAGTCCGGCGACCGATCGCTTAATATTCATGGAGGCGTGGCGAGCGGGTGTTTTAGTGTTTCTCTTCGGTGCGGGGCGCCGGCCGGCCAAGTGAGTTTATGGCTGATTTTCTCTTCGGAAAACGGCACGTCGCGGATCGGGCGAGTCGTGCGACGCGTTCCGTCCGCGAGAATTCGCATCCCCCGACAGCCATTGTGTCCTTACTCACGTCGGCACTCGCGAGAGACCGCGCGAAAGAAAAAGATTTGTTGAACAAGCGCCACGCGCGCGTCGAGCAAGAAAGAAAAAACAAAAAAAAGTTTCTTTCAACCTTTCGGATTTAAAGAACTCTCATCTGGACCACGATAGTCACTATAGCAATCGAATGTTTCAGATTAAATGGACGTTTTGCAGCGATGGAAGATGGCTTTCAGCTTTATCGAAGTGCATCATCGTTGATTGCTGAAAATGCAGGCACGATTATTGCAATAATTCGATTGATCAGCATTGCCAAACAATACGAGATGTAATCGGTACACATTTCGCCAATAATGGCCGATTCTGATTGACTGTCAAAATACCATTTGAAATTATAATACTAACTAACAATAAGAGTTTGTCGATCCAATTGCATACGGTGTCGCATTGATAGGATATCTCGACAATGTGAAACATTCTAGCATGATAACAGTAAATATTCCCCGACAAAAGTAAAAATGGAAACTTGGAGAATTATTATTAACTTCAATTATCACACAAATGAAATTGTTTTAAATGATCGCTCAAATGCTCAATTAAATTGCTTAAAAATTATTGTAATCGTCTATTTAAGTCTTCTTCAGTAGTTCATTAATTGATTTAGCCATTTTTATATATCCATTGGTCAATACAGTGCTTTTCGGTATGAAATTCCTTACATGTTTTTATAGAAATTTTTTAATTTATTAGAGAGAGAAAAAAAACGTTATATTGCGGTATCAGTGGAAAAATAATTTTGTATTTTTCCAGTGCGATGTTAGTATGCGCAATTCGTGGCACGAATCACCATTTCAAGGGGAGGGGAGAGGGGTAGTTATTGCGAGTCGTCTAATTAAGGTATATGGCAGTATAACAAACACGTTATGTTTGAGTTACTAAAATCAGGTATTCATGACCGACGCTTTAGATTCATCCAAAAAACGCCAAGAACGCGTCGGGGTCACCGAATGCGGATTTTACGCGCCTAGATGTTAAGCGGCGTAAAGCGGATTTTTTTATGTCACTTCCCGTGTAAAACCGACGTTTTTTCTCGTGTGAAACAGGGAGACGTGTTTGGCCGCGCATCGCGAACGCGAAGGTCTTTTGTGCGCTTCGAAAGATGCCGACAAATCGGTATTCGCGGAACGCGCGCACGAAGGCGCGACGCAGCGTTATTACATAAATGGGGATAAAAACCAGGATTGAGGGAAAAGATGGTAACAGAGTGAAACGAGATCGCGACGAGCGCGAGTATTATCATCCGAGTGAATTTCTATCGCACGACCGAGTGATTTTAACGATTAACATTGTATTTTTAAACCCGCTATCTGTCTTTCTCTTTCTCGTTATTATCACTATAACTTTCCAACATTTATAAACATATTCGATTTGGAGGAAAAATATTGCATCTTTTTGGATTTAAATATAGTTAAGATCTGCAGTTTTATCATTAAAAACACGAATGTGCACTGTTCAAAATGAAATTAAATTATTAAATATAGCAACGGCTGAAGAGAAAACGTCAGGTAAATTAAATATTGAAGCTTTGTAATAATTAAATTAATTAAAATGGAATAAAATGTCACTCTAGTGAACAAACAATTCTCCTTTTTTTTAGCCTGAGCTGTATTTAAAACAACTCTTACATTTCTAATTGCCTCAACTCTGGATAACTGGAGCGCAAATAAATACTACATTAAAATAAGTTTGGAGACAGCAATTTCGTGATCGTTTCTCTAAATAAGAATTTCCTATTTATACTTGTACATGAATGTAAAGAACAAATTCTTATTTATCAAGCAATTACGAAATTATCGTTTTTAATTTTAATATATTTATATTTAATCATATTCTCTATTCACATTTCAATTATGCAGAATCCGGACGATTAGAAATACAAGAGCTGTTACAAAAAGGTCTGAATTAAAACTGAAAAAAAAGTGAAAATAACCAGCATAACAGATATCTTATTCTACTTTAATTAATTTAAGTTCAAACTGATCTATTGGACAGATATCACACAGGATTTGACGTATTAATTGCCACACGTTACAGAATAACAATTACAACGTGCGAAAGTTGCTCCCGATGTAACGTCAGGCTCGAACGATTTGTTTCCTGGCTTTCTCAACGGGGTCAACGAGAGTCATAAATCAAAAGAGCGAACGATAGTATGGATGCTTCCAATCAATTAGGCGCATTCGTGAAAGAAACGGTTTCGTTGATCAAATCGCTCTCGTTATTCTCGGCATAACGAACGAAGCGGCTCCTTTGAAATCTCAATACAACCCACGCATGCCTTTCGAAAAAATGTCACGTGAAAGTCTCCGTAATTTCGAGTCCGTATTTTTTTCGTGCAAAAGGATTTAATACTTTTAAATAGACACTAATTGAAGTGGAGTTTCCAATGCAAATGTAAATTGTTTTACAACGGAATACAAAGAAGCAAAACATATATTATTTAATCTCTCTATACAACAAATTGAGATATTTTACTTTATATAAGTTCTTCATTTATTCAAATATGCTTTTTAATTTCAAAAATTATGATTTCTAAATGTTTCAGAAATATTTAATTGATATTTATCTCACAAAAAATATTCCCTATTTTCAAAAATATATAACTAAAACTAATTAGATTGTCTTATTACAATATAAAATTATGAGAAAAACATTTATTAATTAATTATTAATTAAAATTGTGCTTGCTGATATTCAGAATCTCAAAACTATACGTACTCTGTTTAATCACATTGAAGTTACAAAATTGTCAACTTTAATTTAATCATGTTTAAATTTAAAAATCTTATCGCTTTGTTATTATTAATAATTTAGTTCATATGTGACACTTTATATGACACTTTAAGTGAAAATTTCTCAATCTTAGAATGCTGTATTGCAAAGAACTAATATTACTGCTAATCCAAGTACAGTGTTGTATGCGTGATGGTACGTAAATCTTTCTCTCGTTGGAAGATATCGCGTGTACCCGATATGATCACGATCGTGAGTCGTAAAGGCTGCTTCGTAGTTGCAGCAGAAATGAAATTTCTTCGTGCGAAAAAGATTTATCGGCTATGCCATTCTATACAAATGGATGGTTGCTACTCGCC